ATGATATTTAAAGCAAACGGAAATTGAGCTTCCTTATGACCCAGCTATCCCTCTGCCAGGCATATACCCAGAAGAGGTAAGAAATAAACCACAGCCAGACATCTGCGCTCCAATGTTTATGGCGGCACAGTTCATGATCACAAAGAATTGCACAGAGTTTCTAAGGCACAGAGTTTACTGTAGGGCTGACAACAGCTCAAGACATGTGGCCCCATCACTGGAGCATACCACAAAAGAGGACAGTTGTGGAGCCACACAGTGGGGAGTTAGTTCAGTCTGAACCACCCCACCCCAACCCCACCCATAATAGTGAGGCGAACTGAGAAGGGAGCATAACAGATCAGCAATAGGAGCAAAGCAAAGCCACAAAGCCCCTGAAGAGTGCCAAAAATAGACTTCAGGCTAAGAGGGGCAGCTCCCAGAATCCCCCAAGGCTAGAGGAGAGACAGTCATAAAGGTTAGCAGATAGACCTGGAATTATGTATGTTCTTGTTAATTATTTTGTTGTTGTTGTTGTTTCTTTCTTTTTTTTGCTTGGTCTCTGTTATTGTTTGGTTGCCTACTTATATAAGATAGGCATGGGAAGCAAACTAGAGGAGGAAGCAATGGCAGGGAGAAGGCAGAGGAAGGAAACTGTGAGCAAACAATGCCAAAGACAGGGAACAACTAGGGAGTTAAAATCAACAACGGGAGTGTGGGAGCAACAGCAATCTAACTGAAAGGAATTACTAAGAAGCAGAAGTAGGGTGAGCGTGATGGTGGGGCAGGAGGAAGGTAAAAGGAAACAGAGGAACAATCTAGGAAGCAAAGATATAAATAGAGGTATAATCATAGGTGTGTACATATGTAAATATATTAATTCATAAGAATAGAGGTATTGGCCCATGTACATATATTTATATGGCAAAACATTGAGGTTGTGAATGGACATCAGGCCTGCTCATGTCCTCCCTCAATAAAAAAACTCTTTGTTCTAACAACCTGGCATTCTGTGATGCTCACCCTTTTGGCACAATCACTGAATACAAAATGGGTGCATAAGCAAATGTGGTGAAGAAAGCAGATGGTGCCGGGCTATCAAATGAGATAGGATCTGGGGTCTTAAAGGCTTGACGTTGAACAAGTAGCCATCTAGCAGAGAAGCAACAAGCCCACGTAGAAGAAGCACACCAGCCTGTGCAATCATGGGGTGTTGATGTAATCAGGCCACAGGCATCAGAAAACCCAAAACAAACAAACAAACAAACAAACAAAAACCATATTGTAGAGAATGAGGGGGACTGGAACAGAGATCCTAAGGGCATCTGTAGACAATCGGACAGAGGGGTCAGAGAGAAGGGATGAGTCCTTCAGGGTGCAGTAAAGCACCAATGAAATACACAATACTCCTCTGGTTCCTTGAGGCTTTCTCACCCCCACTACCAAGACCCCAGTACTTCCTTTCTCTGTGGGCTAGAATGGAGCATATGCATAGGTACAGATAAAACATTAAGGCTCATGACTCAGGGAATCCAGGAACAGGAATGGAAGTAGCAATACCAGGAGGGCAGGGGGCTGTTGGGGAAAGGAAAGGCAGAAGGGGGAACCAATAGTGATGAGCGGATGAGCAGCACATAATCGCACCCCTCCCCCCAGGGGATGAACAACAGAAACAGTTGGGGGAGGGAGGCAGCAGTCAGTGGAAGATATGAAAATAATAACAATTTATAATTTATCAAGGGGCCACGGGTGGGGGTGGAGAGGAGCTGACACCAAGGGCTCAGTAGGAAATAATGATAGCAACATATGTACAAATGTGCTTGTTATAGTTGGTAAATGGATTGTTATAAGAACTGTAAGAGCCTTTAATAAAATGATTTAAAAACAAACAAAATAAATAATTTTTAAGGGGGAGGCCAGGAATAATTGTTACTGGACAATAAGTTAAGTAGTCCTCATGGTCTAGTGGGTTATGAATGTGGCTGCTCACCACAAGGCCGCTGATTGGAGCTCACCAGCAGCTCTGCAGAGAAAGACGAGGCACTGGGCTCCATGAAGATCTTCAATCTCAGAATGCACCAAAGACATTTCCTCTGTCCTACAGGCTTCTTATGAGTTGTCATACACTGACAAGCAGTGTCTTTAGTACCATAAATAGAAATTCAAATGTTCTGCACCCCAAATAAGTCTTTCAGAGTGTGAACTTCTCTGTTCAAATTAAAGTGTCCCAAATGGTACAACTTCTTCATCTGTGTACAGGAATTTGCAAAAGGATATGTAAAGATGCTTGAAGTCCGTCTCACCTCTTAAACATTTAACATGAATTACCCA